CAGCAAATACTCTTTGCTGCTGCTGCTGCTGCTGCTGCTGCTGCTGCAGTTTGCAGCAGCAATGCGCTGGGGCTAACAGCTCTCTTTTTTGTTTTTAAAAGAATTATTTTTTATACTCTCGATATTCTGTTTGTCTATTTATTTATATAATTAATATCTATATATATAATATAAACACACAAGTATATATAATACATATACAAATATATACATATATATATATATATATTTGTATATATAGATAGATATAGATGCATATATATAGAGATAGATACAGATATATATTTTCAAGTATGCAATATACGGATACGTGTATTATACATCTGTATATTATATATAGATATGTATATTATATGTGTATGCATTTGCATATTATAACAAACAAACAAACAAATAAACAAATAAAACAAACAAACAAACAAACAAAACAAGAGATAAAGTTTTGGTTGTGTGTATAAAAATATACAAACATTATATATATACATATATATTTATTTATATATTTATTTATTTATTTGCGTACATAAACATGCTTTTATATATTGAATATAACCATATAAATATATGAAAATAAATAAATAAATACTTATGTGTATGTATGCCGTTATATATTTTTATTGATGTATCTTCTTATTGATGTTAATAATTATATTTCTTTGTTTTTTTTCTTTTTTAAATTACTTCTTTGTCTGTCTGTCCGCTTCGGGGTTTTCAATTGAAGTTGTTTCTGCTGCTGCTGCTGCTGCTGCAGATGTTGCTGCTGCAGCAACAGCAGCAGCAGCGTTTGCTGCTGCAGCAGCAGCAACAGCAGCAGCAACGTTTGCTGCTGCAGCAGGAGGTGCTGCAGCATCCAGTTGCTGCTGCTGCAGATATGTATATATAACATATATAGGATAATAATATAATATACACTAATAATATAATAATATAATATAGTATAATATAATAGAATGTAATATAATCTAAATATAATATGGTAGAAGAAAGAGATTTAAACTGTTTTATTCTTCTTCCTGAGGATTTCTGCATGCATTGCATGCATTTCGAGTGTATCTGCAGCTACAAAGAAGAAAAAAGTTTTTAATGGTTGCGGTGATGCAATTTATTTAAAATCTTCCGGCCGCGAGACTCCGTCGTTTGTTCTGCGTTTGGTGCTGCTTCTGCTGCTGCTGCTCCTGCTGCTGCTGCTGCTGTTGCTGCTGCTGCTGCTGCGCCTCCTCCAGACTTTACTTGCGCCGCTGCAACGCAGCAGCAGCGGCGTTCGTTACAAGCGAAGAAAAGATAAAAATTTATTTGATACAATCAACAATAAATAATTAAAATTGTTCTATTTATCTACAAACAAATGCAAACAAAACAAACAACTACAAAATATTAATGATAGACGCTGATGACTTCGTTTGAATTTATTAATATTTTTTTATAATTAAGAGGAGGAGTGCGCTGCGGTGTATCGGCAGCTTGTCGGACGACCTATTTCTTTTTAAATCTATTTCTTTTTTAAATTTATTAATTTATTTTTTGTATTTGTTCAGAGAATAAATATCCTCAGGGCTGCATGCGGCAATTTGTTGTTCTGTGTACTTCGACTAATTTTATAATAACTCAAAGCCACAACCAATCAAACAGCAGCAACAGCAGCAGCAACTAAAAATAATAATAAATAATAATAATAATAAATAATAATAATAATAATCGTAATAACAATAATACCTAATAATAATAATATTACTAAGTAATAATACTAAATAATAGTAATAATAAATAACCATCCTAAATGATAATAATAACAATAATAATAATAGTAATAATAATAATAATAATAATAATAATAATAATAATAATAATAATAATAATAATAATAATAATCTGCAGTTGTTTAGAAAGTATTTTAACACAGCAATGATGACTGTTAGATGGATGCCGCCTCCCTGGCGATAAAAAACAGAAATAAATTTGCAAGACGAAATTACATAAAAACGGCAGAACTGCGGAAATTGCGGTGTATATACAGCTGAAGATAAAAGTAAAGCGAGGAGACTCGGCGTTCGGTGTAGATAGATAAATATTATATATGTTAATATATAATATATTATGTAATATATAAAATATATCGTATATAATATAATATATATTATTTGTATTATTTATTTCGTGTAGATTCACCTAATATATTATATACAATATACGTATGATATATATATCTATATATATTATATATATAGATATATTGCACAACCGTAATATATTTATATTAATATATTAATCTACTATATAATTTTATATATATTATATATAATACAGACTATAGATAATATTAACATAATATATTTTACACTACCCTTACAATATAACATATATAATAAACCCTATTTATTTATACTTCATACATACGCTGACGAACAGAGCGGAGATATATATATATATATTATATATATTATATATATTATATACATTATAATATGTATAATATAATATAAATATTATTACATTAAATTTATAATTATATAATTTACGAATCGACTACGACTTCGCGTTTATCTTTATTATTTTTATTTCCTTTAGCATTTTTTTTATTCATTTCATTATCCATAGGTACTTTGAGTGTATCAGGGTTAGAAGACATGCATTTATTATTATTATTATTGCTGCTGCTGCTGCATGCAAGCCTACCATCGCTCTTATCATTTGCAAATGACCTAACACGTAAAACTTCGTCAGGCGGCGGCCGCTCGCACCGCCGAATTCCCCAAATTCTTTCTGCATATTCGCGCATGCAGCGGTCCGTGCTGAACTTGCCCATCGATGCTGCTGCCTGAGACGCAGATATAGATATAGATATATAGATATATATATATAATGTATATATATATATGTGTATGTATATATGTATGTAAATACCTATATTTGTATGTATCTATGTATGTATGTAATTGTATATATGTATATATATGTATATGTATGTAGGTTATATATATGGATTATATATATATATATTAAATATATATGTCTATATATACATATATGCACAGCAAGAATAATAATTATATATATACACACACACACATATATATATATACATATATAATATGTATATAGAATACTGAAGACTACAAACCTAGATAGAAAGTTATATACATATATACATATATATATATATATGGACAGCAAGAATAATAATATATATATATAATATATATAGAATACTGAAGAGTACAAACCTTGATAGAAAGTCTCCACCACTTATCGGGTTGTTTATAGGTGCGGTCAACGTCATCTTGAGCTCTGCAGTAGTCTGGGAAGTCATGCTGAAGCAAATAGAAGTCCCCGTTGCAGCCATTCCCATTATTATTAATCATCTCTACTACTCGGCAGAAGTCTGCCTGAGCTTGGTTGTCGCCGCACGATAAACTGCCGCTGCAAATATAATCAAATACTTCGCGCAAACGGTGATCCGTCGGATATGACCCGTTTCGAGCCTGAAACAAACACAGATATACATATAAATATATATATTAATATAATTTATATATATTTATATAAATAGATATAGTTATATATATTATATTTGAATATATATATATATACATGAGTGTATACATATATATATATATATGTATAAGTATGTGTATGTAAATATATATACATACAATATATATATATATATATATATGTATGTATATATATATCTACATATATGCATCTATGTATATACATATACATGTTTATATGCATGTCTATACATACAGATATGTATGCATATCTACAATCACCAACAGCAAACACAACACATATAAATATAAATATAAATATAAATATAAAATATAAAATATAAAATATAAATATAAATATGATGTAAGCACAAACATAAATATAAACAAATATATAATTTACAAATAAATAAACATACATATACACATTCGTAAATACAAATAAACAAATAAACAAAATATAACTATAAATAATATAATATAAATAAATATAGATGAAAATATATATATAATCATACTCTTTCTCTGATAGCATCAACTTCATGCTCTTTAGCACCGAAGATAAACATCGTATCATCACCGCCTTCTTCTCTAATTTCAATGTTTGCACCGTCCAATGTCCCGACAATTAAACCGCCGTTCATAACAAACTTCATATTAGATGTTCCTGAAGCCTCAGTTCCTGCAGTGGATATATGCTGAGATATATCGCTAGCGGGTATTATAACTTGAGCGTTCGAGACGTTGTAGTTTGGTAGGAATACAACCTGCATTCAAAATAATATAATTTACAGCTATTTGCTATTACTTCGCTTTTATATTTCGTTATTCAGTGTGCTCATGTGTGTGTGTGTGTGTATGTGTGTGTATCTCGCTGCTTATTTACTTTGCTTGTTTGTTTGTTTGTTTGTTTGTTTGTTCTACTTTTATCGGGGTCTGTCTCCTCTTTATTTCTACTGTTTACTTATTGTGGTTCTACATTTCTCTTTAAATGCATTTGTCTGCATATTTTGATACATAATATGTCTGTGCATACATTTGTGTTGTGTATATACATATATATATACATTAACGTGAATGCATATTTATATACATATATTTGCCTGTATCTGTAGGTACATCTAAATGTATATATAGATGTATGCATACACGAATATATATATATATATTTATTTACATTTATACATATATATACATATATTTGTATAGACGGGCCTCGTATCGGTTATACGCATCATACAGATGAATTCATCTGCCTCTCTCCGTGCTAATTTATTTATTTAATTCAATTCGATTAAATAATTGTTTATTTGTTTGTTTATTTATTAACTTTATTTATATTTGTTTGTTTCTCAGTGTTGTGCATGCGAAGTAAGTATGTGTTGTTCTTACCTTGAGGTATTCGCTAACATCCGGATCATTATTAACTACTTGCGAGACATTGTTAGCCAGCTTGATGATAGTTTTTGCTGTATAATATCCAGGAGCTGCTTTACCTCCAATAAGACAAGCTCTAGGTTGTACGTTAGCTCTGTCTGCGGGCTGCATGCGTTTGATAGAGAGGTATCTATGTATGATATACATGATATTAAGAAGCTGTCTCTTATATTCATGAATACGTTTAACTTGAATATCAAACAACATAGTCTCAACATTCAATTTAACCCCGCATCTTTGCTCTACCCAGAGAGCTAATCTTTTCTTGTTTTCTTTCTTTACTGCCGCCCACTCGGCTCTAAATGAATCATTTTCAATATGATTCATCAACCCAGCGATCATATCAAACTCTTTTAACCAAGAGTCTGAGCCTAGCCAATTGCTGAAAAGATCTGCAAGCCCTCTATTAGCACAATATATCCACCGTCTTGGAGTAACGCCGTTCGTTACATTAAGAAATTTATCTTGAATACCTTTTTTTGCGTAAAACTCTGCAAATTCTGGGAACAACTTCGTGCGCACCAACTCGCTATGAATTGCAGCAACTCCATTCACATGAGTGCCTCCAATTACTGCTAGATTCGCCATCCTTATTCTCTTTTCATTGCCCTCTTCATATATAGACATCCGCCCAATCTTATGCCAGTCATCTCCGAAAATTTCACGCGCTTCGTTCAAGAAACGGAAGTTTATTTCGTTTATGATCAACAAATGTCTGCACAAACAAACAAACAAACAAACACATATATATATGCATTATTTATTTGTATTATCTAATACATATACTGCATGCATACTATCTATATCGTTATATACATATATATATATATGTACATTACACATATATTTATATAAATTCTACATACAGGCATCAATAGAGGCAAGTGCGCTGCACTGCAGTATATGTTGATATATATATATATATATATAGATGCATGTATATGCATTACGCATATTATATAACATATATATATATATATATATGTTTGTTTACCTGGGTAGAAGCTTGGCGATGAGATCGGCGGACCATTTCTCGAGAGCTTCGGGCAAGACGGTGTGGTTGGTGTAGCTGAAGCATTTTCGAGTTAAATCCCAGGCAGTTTCCCAGTCGAGGCCTTCAACATCTAGAAGAATACGCATAAGCTCAGGAATAGCAATAGTTGGGTGTGTATCGTTTAACTGACACTGAATCTTCTCTGGCAGTTCTTTCCAGTCGCGGCCTGGAGCTCTTTTAAAGCGTCTAAGGACATCTTGAATTGTTGCACAACAGAAGAAATACTGTTGTTTTAATCTTAGTTCCCTTCCTTCTTGTGTATTATCATTAGGATATAAAACAGCAGAAATAGATTCTGCATTCTGTCTTTCTCGTACCGATTCAAGATAACGACCAACATCAAACAAATGGAAATCAAACTCTTTACTTGGGCAGGCTTTCCATAATCTTAAATTAATAGTATTATATGTATCAAAGCCTGGTATAGGGGTATCATAAGCCATTGCCTGAACAATCTCTCCTCCAACCCATTTACTACGCATGCGCCCTGTCTGAGGATCTCTATACTCTGTTACATTACCGTATATACGTACAGCGTATGTACAGTCTGAACGCTCAATTTCCCAAGGGTTTGATAAAGTTAACCAATAGTCAGGGTATTCAACTTGGCGACCGTTAACTATCTTCTGCTCAAATATCCCGTATGTATATCGAATGCCGTAACCCCAACACGGTAAATTCAACGTAGCCATCGAATCCAAAAAGCATGCAGCGAGACGACCTAACAAAAACATATACATTCAAACTAAACATATATACTTAGTCAATATAAACCTCTATATCATATATACAAATATAATGTATATATAATAATAAAACCAAAATACACACATATACTCAAATAACACATAAATACTCATTCATTACAAATACACAGGCATATTATATATATATAGATATTTATGTATATGCATACCGAAGCAGATATACACATGCATATACATATGCATATATATATATATATATATATATATAAGCACAAAGCATACTGCTCGCTTCACAATAAATAATAATATGCAATAATATAATCATGCATGCACTCCATTACTTGCGATGCGCAAAGGAAAAATTACAGCAATAAAGTAAATTACCATTAGCATTATTCGGTGTAGATATGGTAATAGCTTACAAACCCTAGAAACACTTAACAAGCATTGCTATTTTAACGTATATAAACGGACGCAAACAAACGAGCAAATCAACAAAGAGAAACAAACAAACAAAAACAAACAAACAAACAAGCAAAGAGAAACAAATAAACAGACAAATAAACCAACTCACCCAAACCACCATTGCCGAGTGCAGGATCATGTTCAAATTCGTAGAGCTGCTCCAGGTTAAATCCGAGGTCCGCCAGAGCTGTGCGGTAATTCTTCTCAATATCTAAATTCACCAGAGCGTTTTGAAAGGCTGCACAAAGCAATAACAGCAAAACCACTACAAACCCTAAACCCTAAACCCTAAACAAAATATTATGAGAATCATACACACGCGTCGCTGCGTGGAGTTGAACGCGGACGCCGCACAAATGCAAGAAATGCATCATCGATACGATAACACTGCAGCTGCCTAAGTTTCTGTCTGTTCAGCTGCTGGAGAAGAAGATGACTGTAAGGATTCTTCAAGAGGAAAGGCAGCCCCACTACTATAATAACACTCAACGGAGAAAATACACCAAAGGGAGAGACTGACCGCGGCCCAGTAAGAACTCCAGGGAAAGGTAGTAAGCCCTCTTGACGTCCTTCTCATGGAAGAAGGCATTTGTGTCGTTAAGGGTTTCAATGAGACGGTCGCGAACAGAGAAAGCAGCGGCACGGTAGCACGACTCCGGGTCGAGGTTGAAGCGGGTTTTCGCCAGAGTGTATTCCTAAGAAGAAATAAGTGGAAGACAGAGGCGAGAAATTGCCTTTAGTTGTCGAAGACGGTGGGTTTCAAAGCTTTCGATACCCGAAAAGAACGACTCACGACTTCAGGTGTATGTACACCCCAGCGTTGTGCGTGTGTATGCGAGTTTCTGCAGCTTACCACATGGTTCACTATGCTTCTTTGAATGGAGTGGACGTCGGATGGCAAATATGTTTCCATAAGTTTCCATAGTTTTTCTTTCTTGTCGTCTGCATGCGGATCCTCTACAACGTTGTACATCCCTGGGATGGTTCGCGGAACCGCTCCTGTCAGTTTCGAGAAGGAAGCCTTTCGCTTCATTTCCCAGTGCTGGGTGGTGTCGGTAGAGAACACATCGTCGACTCCCGTTGCCATTTTCACTGTGTATATTACTAAGGAAGAAGGAAGAAAAGAAAAGGAAGAAAAGCAAGAGAGAACAGAGGCCCAACCGACGCCTCCACCTGGGTTTTGCAATCCGCAACACAAACAAACTACAGACCAGTGCAGAGGCGGAGCGCGGCGTGAGCGTTCAACTTAAAAGAAGAAATTTAAAGGCGCAGTGCAAACCTTAAGAAATTCTTCTGGGTTAAATTCAACAGCTTCCACAGCAACCGCTTTCCACTTCTAGGGAACGCTGCTGTGTGCGCGTAGCTGCTGCTGCTGCTGTTGCTGCTGCTGCTGCTGCTGCACAGTTCGTCCACAGCGCCTGAGTTCGAACGAGGTGAGGGATGCTGCTGCTCTTCGCTGCATTTGCTTCGCCTTTTGGAGATAGCTGAATCATCTGCCTTCCACAAAAAGACAGATGCTTCCTCTGTGTTTAAACAGAAATAATTTGCTTTAATATAACTCTCCTCCTTGTCGTGTGTCTTAGCCCAGTCTACTGCCACGTAGCGCAGTCGGTGTTCAACGTGCATCAACCCGCAACGTTTGTCTCTACTATAAAATTATGTTTATCTAATCATATTTATTTCTTCAAGTTCAGTTCCTACGCATCTCACATCTGCATCTAACCTCCTTAGCACCCAACAGGCAACCATCACCCAGAGACGGCCTGCCGTCTTCACAGCAAACACGGTGTTGTCAGTACACCCGAAGCTCTATAAACAAATGATGCTTCACAAGGCATTCAGACTAATTCACTTCTTACCAAAGCACTACGCACGCTCACTACCCCTCTTTGCTCAGTATCATTTCAAGCGGTCCACAGTAATGCAGTCTACAACCTAAGGGGTTAGTTATAGAGACAGGAGTCTGTGTCTCTGTCTCTGCCTTTCCCGGTGGTGCTCTTCTTCATCTGTTGTCTTTCTTTCTTCTTATTCTGCCTTGTTGCTTTCTGATGGGGGGGTCACTCTGAATGCAAGTCGAGAGAAAACCCAGGCTTGGCGAAGAGGAAGGCTTCGGTGTGTCTGTACAGCGGGTAGACCTACGTCTATAAGTGTCTTATCCAGTTGTGCTTTCTATTATAGCTACATTTCCCTCGACATTCTACTCCCCAGGTGTATGTACACTTCGGTGCAAGCGCTCAAAATATTCACTTCAGCGATTGTAGGCTGCGTAAGAATTAGGTCAAAATAGCTATGCATGCGTTGATGACGGGAAGGAATGTCAATTCCTTTTGCAAAGTTTCGTATGAAGAATTCACATTGCTGCTATTTTGCCAAACCGTTTTGGAGTACTGCAGCTTACCACAGTCTTGCCCTAGGGCCGAGGATTCTCGTAACAGAAGTACCCTTTTTGGATAGAGCGGAGTTATGTGCGAATAAACCTTCCGAACCAAAACAATAGTGGAGTGCTCTCGGTACATATCTGCATGCATTAACTAAATAGGTGCATCTAAATTAACCCCCAAATCAGAAGTACGTGATGTGGTGAGTCTTTGCATGCGCCTGTGAAGCTGCTAAGGAAAGAGACTCCGGCCGCAGCAATTCCATCATATCTCACGCAGAGAATAAGCCGAGAAATAAGTTGTCTCCTTCGCGGCCGCAGGCGCGAAGCAGGAAGTTGAGCACTCCTGTTCACATTTTGCCAGTTTTGTGGCGGCGTCAGCAGCAATCTCCCTTAATTAGGAGCCGCCAACCAACCAGGACTGTTGTTGTTGCTGCAGAGACCCGAAGCACTTGCTTCCTGACAGTATGTCCAGGCATAAGTGACGTTTGTGATAGCGATGGTAGATGAGTATGGAATGCATTTTTTGGTATCTATGAGTGCATTTCTTCTTATTCTTCTCAATATGACAACTATGAGTGTGGTGACCTAACGCGAGTCGTTGACCATAGCAGAAGACCGACGCAAGCTGTGGGAGAGGCAAACAACCTTTTATAAGTGCTCCTACAAGCAGTTAATAACGTCCTGTCCTGGGCGTGAGGCTGGCGCCGAAAGGCGCCAGCCTTTCCAGCCTCTCATGAGCTGCAACGCACCTTGCTGCAACTCCCGCTGCAAGGCAGACCCACAAAAAAGAGGACACAAACCGCTATTAGCGTATGCGCTAGCACTATAGGCAAGTGCTACATGCTTACTAGGACCTGGGCATTCGGCATGCATGCATGCAGCAATCTACGTACTATTTTCAGACAGACCATGCTACATCTGCGCCCCCTCTCGCCAAGCAAAACACACCTGCGTGTGCCTCGACCTCTACAAGGAATACGCGCTCCGAGGGGAAGGAGTCTGCAGTACTTGATGCTGCTGTAACCTGTGTTGTTTCTTCTGCCTCATCGGTTCCTCCTGGTTGAACTGCGTCTCGTAGTGGCGCATGTCGTGGTGTTGGAATTCCTGTTGATCCGCCTGCACTTTCTGCTCCTCCTGCTCCTAATGCAGCTTCAATGCGCCATAGGAATTTCTCCGCACAGGTGATCATCAGAAAACCACTTGCGATTTCGGCATCCTGGCCATCGAAGGTAATACTTTGGTTTGCATTGGCCTCCGCGCTTGGCACGTCGTTACGCATGTATCCGGGATCTGTCTCCTCCAGCTGACCCTTCTAGCAACAGCACTGATGCCTTTTTGTGCGGCGTTTTGGAAAAAGTTTCGCTGAATCCAGGAAGCACGTACTAACGGTATGATGGCATCACCACGTTGCATGTAAATCGGCACTGCAAGCCAACAGGTTGATACTAACGGCGAAGCGCCCTACCCAACACATGGAAAGCTTTTCAAAAAGCGAACAGAGAGTCAGCTGGAGGAGACAGGTCCTGGATGCATGCGTAACGACGCGCGGAAGCCAATGCATTTTGGAAAGCTTGTGAATCCGCAAAGACGCCGTCGTCTGGGTTCAAAGCAACCGCTGGGCGTGTCCTTTATTACTCGAGGAGAAAAGGCTTAATTCTCTAGGTAGTTTGCGGAGAATATCTGGAATTCCTCCTCCTTTTCCCCCAGCAAAGCACCTTCATGACACATCAGTGCGAACCAATCGCTTCTTTTTGGGAGTTGGCTTGGGCCTTGCGTTTGCCCCTCTGAACCGTCAGGTGCTACCTTCGATTGTAACACGGGAAGGTCATAAGTTGCAGTAGAGCCAAACAAATCAAGAGAGGTTTTCGAAGATGCAGCTAATTACCTCCTTCCACTCTCCAGGCTTCCTCGGTACAGCGGCATACAGCCTTACGGCTGTGTTGCAACCCACTCATGTGAAACTCTTCCTGCGCCTTAATGCATGCACCAACACTATAGGTAATTGATTAACAGTTATTTGATCCGGGGTATCTTACTTGCATGCAGTCAGAAATACGCACCAACTTGAGACGGATCGTACCATACGAGCTACACATCCGCACATGCTATAATCAGCAGAGCAGTCACTTCATGCCCACTTCACTGAAACATATTGTACGCCTTTAGCCTAACTGAACTTCAATCTAGAGAAGCAATTTTTCTGTTGATTTTAAGGTGGGAGCAGCCCCAATACCCCGTAGGGAACAGCCCCTGGAGACGCCAAGGTGCAAGAGGGGGGAAGAAAAACAGACTAGAAGACGCTCAAATATTCATGTATAGCACGTATGGTTAATCTAATTTGATAAAATTTGATCGTAATCCCTATATGTATCTATTTATCCGATCTTAACACCAGACAATGGCCTGTTCTATTGATCTGGAACCGCCACCCCTAGAGACTGCTCACAGGGCGTGTGCGCTGAAATCATGCGGCGCAGAAGGAAAACATTTGAAGGTATTACTGAAAATGCGTACTTGCAGAAGAATTTCATATTTTAATGAGAAAACAACGAAAAGGGCGGCGCAGCCGGTCAAAACTCCGAGCTACAGAGTGCGCCAGCGACCGTCGATGGACCACCTCGTCAATGGCTGAGCCAGCAGAGCCGGCAGAAATAGTGTTTTTATGGAATTTATAAGAAACAGTCGCAGAGGATTGTATTATAAGGAAAATAAATGCACGAAAACAAGGGAATTAGGGAGGCTAGGTGAGCTCGGAGGCGGACGGTGCTCGCCGCACAGCTGGCCGCACACACGAGGCACGGCGCAGCTAGCTTGAGCGTTATTGATTTGGATCCGTGGACTTCTTCACAACTTCTGCATCCCTAAAGTGGGACTTTCCTCCTTTTGAGTTATCTCAACATTTGTTCTTCCTTTTTCTTCTTCGAGCTTCTTTGGCTCGTTTCTTTGGTCCCTAAAGCTTTCAGCTGGTGCCGGGCGCAGCCAGCTCACCACTGCCCTTCACAGCGTTGTTCCCCAGTCTGGCTCATGAGCCACATGGTCATTTTTCTTCAATTTGTTCATGAGAAGAGCTGCTACAGCGTAGCTCGAACTCAACTTTAAACGGAGCCGTTGCAGCGGCGACAATATGCTGCATCGCAACCCGCGGTGGGCGCTTTGTGCAGCCCTGGCTGCACTTTACGGCGGAAATGGAGTCGCCGGTAAGTTCACAGCATGCAAAAAGTTTGTATTTAGTCCGTTTTAACGCTTTCAAGCAGGCTTTTGCCCCCCAAAGCTGGCCTGAACCCCGTCGTGGCTGGCTGGTCGATCTACCCAGGGTTCGCCCTGGTGAACGTTCCCCAGTGCGCGCACGTTATTCGGTTGCATCAACACAGCACTAGCTACAGAACTGCTTTTCATGTAGATTTACTCATTTCTCGTCTTCAGATGCATGGTCGCAGCAGCAGCTGCGTCCGTGCAGTTGTATCCAGGTTTCTAGCGATCGACGGTCGTGGCGAGCACCGGATGGACGACTGCGTGTTGCATCAGCGGCCTCAATAGAGGCATTTAATTGTTTGTTTGGTAGTGAATTAAGTTTGAATAAAGACGATGGGATGTGGGTACGAGCCTGTTTCTGCTCCACCTAGTGTCTGCTCTGTTCTGTTCTGATATCTTGGTGCAGGCGTCGAGCTCAGTAAGGCTCACATAAGTGAATGCGAATCAGCATGGACGCCCTGGACAAGCTGCGATCCCGTAACGGGATTGAAGGAGAGGCACAACTCCATGTGCGAGACATGGGTGGAGGTTCAGGAGTGCCAGAAGCTTACAGGATGTAAGTCGTCGTGTGTTCTATCGTGCTCTTTATTCGTATTTAACCTGCGCAATTGAATAGCGGCAATCTGCGGGATTCTTTCTCCCGATGCGTTTTAACGATGGAGAAGATGTGCATGATTGTCTCCAGTTGATTAGTGTTTTTGAATTGTTTGTGTGAATTGTTATTGCGTTTTCTGCTGGGTTCAGGCGGTGAATTCTCGCAGTGGAGCCCGAGCGACGTTGCTTGCGTCGCAGGACAGTTTCAAACTCGCTCCCGCGAAGGTTGCCCCGAGGTGCAGGAGGTGAGGGCCTGTAAACCGGAGAGAGAATGCAGCAAGACATGGACGCCGTGGACAGAATGCGACGACAATCACTCGCAAGAAAGACACAACGCCAGATGCGGACCCGTCGAAGTTCGGGAATGCAACATGACGCAAGAGGATATCCAAAAATGTACGCCGACGTGCAAATCAAACACACTTCATTTATCAACTAATCAATGACAGTCAGCCAACGCCAGTTTACTAAACAACAAACGGTAGACAAATAACAACTAGTAAATAGCAACACGACTCCCCTTGCACATACATGTGTGCATGTATACGCGTAAAGAGGAACGTAGAGTATTCCATACAGTACATGTCATATACGCTCGTGAGATTTATACTAAAATATATAGGATATTTCGAATATGGAGCTACATTAATACCTCCTGTACTCGGCCAGCTGGTTGAATTTTGGGTGTGTGGTGGGAGCCTCAGTGCCCATGCTGTCGTGTTGTGCATCACCATTGCAAGCATGATAATGCTTCTGCAGGCCCTTGACTTGTGAATGGTGATGGTTGCAGGCGGCGATTGGACAGCATGGGATCCTCCTCTGGCAGGAGAGTGTGTTCGCGGCTCATCCCACTCGCGACACCGCCAGAACTGTCCAGACAGGAAGGAGGTGCGGGTTTGCGGCTCGTTTGACTGCAACACCTGCTCACCAAATGCGACTTGCGACCCTCTGGTCGGTACATGTCAGTGCAAGCCTGGCTTCCGGGGAGACGGCGTTAGCTGCGAGCCGTTCAACCCTTGCGAGGAGACCCCTTCACCTTGCGACTCCAACGCCATCTGCACACCAGACGGCAACGATGCGAAGTGCCAGTGCAAGACGGGCTGGGACGCCGATGCTGCAGCTGGCAGCAGCAGCCAGCCGTGCGTTGAAGTCGATGAGTGCGCAGCTAACACCCACCAGTGCCCCGCTCACTCCACCTGCTCCAACACACAGGGCTCTTATGATTGCCAGTGCTTGAGTGGATACCAGAAGGGTGAAGACGGAGAGTGCCACGACATCGACGAATGCAAAACCGGAGAGCACAACTGCCCAGCGCACTCTACATGTAGCAATACACAAGGTGGCTTCGAGTGCCGCTGCGATGCCGGGTATAGAGGAAACGCAACGACAGACAGCCCCTGTGTGAACATCGACGAATGCGCAAACCCTGACGCCTGCTCAGCGAACGCCATCTGCACTGACACCGACGGCTCGTACAGCTGCAGCTGCCCCGAGGGATACAGCGGCGAGGGCTCTCACGACTCCCCTTGCTCGAAGATCGACTTCTGCGCAGATCCTTCCCTCAACACCTGCGGAGCCCACTCCACTTGTGTCAACACACTTACAAGCTTCAAGTGCATCTGCGAATTGGGCTATGAAGGTGACGGCACGCGCGAGAGCCCCTGCGTAGATGTCGATGAGTGCTCAGTGGAGAAACCCACGAACAGCTGCAACAGAAATGCCATCTGCTCCAACACGGATGGCTCTTACACTTGCCAGTGCAAGCCCGGCTTCACGGGCGACGGCATGGGCCCCTCCGGGTGTACAGACATTGACGAATGCGCAGAGTCGCCCTGCGATCCGCACGCCTCCTGCAGCAACACGGAGGGTTCGTACGTCTGCACATGCAACTCCGGCTACGAGCCAGCTTCAACCGACGGGCACGCATGCAAGGACATCGACGAGTGCGCGACTGGTGCAGCCGGTTGCCACGTGTCAGCAGATTGCGTGAACACCGACGGAGGCTACGAGTGCAGATGCCGTGAAGGGTTTATCGGGGACGGAAAGGTTTGCAGCGACATCGACGAGTGCGCGGCTGAGACCTCCCCCTGCGGCGCGAACACTCACTGCCAGAACACCATCGGCAGCTTCGAATGCGAGTGCAAGCCTGGCTACGGACACATGGACGGCAACGTGTGCTATGATATCGATGAGTGCTCAGAAGCGAGCACAAATATCCCTGCAAACTGCCGCTGTGTCAACACAGAGGGCAGCTACTCCCTCGAAGCCCAGGCAGGCTATGACCCTGCGGCGCGAACACTCACTGCCAGAACACCATCGGCAGCTTCGAATGCGAGTGCAAGTCTGGCTACGGACACATGGATGGCAACGTGTGCTATGATATCGATGAGTGCGCAGAAGCGAGCACAAATATCCCTGAAAACTGCCTCTGTGTCAACTCAGAGGGCAGCTACTCTCTCGAAGCCAGGCCAGGCTATGAGTTGGTCGATGGGAAGTGCGTGAAGATAGACTTCTGCGCCCGCGGCGCATGCAATGCTCTTGCGTCCTGCACGGAGAACGCTGAGGGCACAGCAGCAATTTGCACCTGCATTGCGGGCTACAGCGGAGACGGCACTGCCGCTGGGCACTGCGACGACATTGACGAGTGCGCTGGGCAGAACGATTGCGCGGCTCCTGAGGATGGAGGCATTTGCGAGAACACTGTGGGCTCGTACCTCTGCAAGTGCGCCGACGGATACAGACAGGATGGAAACGCATGCGTTGAGATCGACGAATGCGCCGAAGGAACACACAACTGCCACGCCTCTGCCGTTTGCACGAACACAGCCGGAAGCTTCACTTGCGAATGCAACACTGGGTTCAGCGGCAACGGCGTAGAGTGTACCGACATTGACGAATGCTCGACTGAAGCCGACGACTGTGGCTCGAACACGCTCTGCAATAACACCATCGGCAGCTTCGAATGCGTCTGCGTGGCGGGATTCGAACGCGTCGACTCTAAGAACTGCGCGGACATCGACGAATGCACAACCGGAGCTCACACGTGCTCGGCACACGCCACCTGCACCAACACTGAGGGATCGTTCACCTGCCAGTGCAACCCGGGCTTTGAAGGAGACGGCCACAAGTGCGAGGACATCGACTTCTGCGGCAGCGGACAGCACGACTGCAACAAGCATGCAGAGTGTTCAGAGAGCGGTGACAACACCACATTCAAGTGCACATGCACTGCAGGATATGCTGGGGACGGACACGGCGAGGCGGGCTGCCAGGACATCGACGAATGCGCAGAGGCCGGCATCTGCGGTACCAACGCCGTCTGCACAAACACCGCAGGCAGCTTCGAATGCTCATGCAAGCCAGGATTCGTTGCAGCAGGAGAGCCCCAGACGGGCTCTTCCGCTCTGCAGTGTGTGGACATCGACGAGTGCAGCGACGCGTCGAAGAACACCTGCGCTGCTGCAGCAGACGGAGGCATCTGCGAGAACACCGAAGGTAGCTACACATGCTCCTGCAAGCCTGGTTACCAAGGCGACGGCCACAGCTGTGCAGACGTCAACGAGTGCGCCACCGAGGGTGCCTGCGGTGAACATACAGTTTGCAAGAACACCCCGGGCTCTTTCCTATGCGAGTGCGTTGATGGCTACCAGCATGCTGACGACCTCTCCTGCAGAGATGTTGACGAGTGCGAGACAGGCGCCGCCGTTGTGCCTCCTCACGCCAGCTGCGTCAACACCGACGGCAGTTATGACTTCCAATGCGACGCCGGATACCGCCGTGTGGACGGGGGTTGCGAGAAGATCGACTTCTGCAAAGAGAAGGGATGCAACGCCAACGCAACTTGCCGCGAGAACGATGCAGGCACAGAGGCAATCTGCACATGCAAGGAAGGCTACGAAGGGAACGGAGAAGGCGAAGAGGGCTGCCAAAACATCAACGAGTGCGAGACGGGCAATCCTTGCAAGGACTTCGGCGAGGGCGGTGTGTGCGTCGATACAGACGGATCGTACACATGCGAGTGCTCTGCAGGATTCTTGCTGCGCCGCTTCACATGCCAGGATGTTGATGAATGCTTAGACGGAAAGATGAACACCTGCGCTGCAACAGGAGGCATCTGCTCGAACACCGTCGGATCCTTCTCCTGCTCGTGCGCCAGCGGATTCGAGGGCGACGGCCACACTTGCACGGATGTCGATGAATGCGCAACAGCACAACACACTTGCGACCCCAACGCCACCTGCGTCAACACCGAAGGAAGCTTCGAGTGCCACTGCAACGCCGGATTCGAGGGAGACGGACACACCTGCACTGACATCGACGAATGCGCAGACCCCACAAAACACACTTGCGACACTCACAAGGGAGTTTGCCAAAACACCACAGGGTCCTTCACCTGCGGCTGCAAACCAGGATTCAGCCTCGCAGCGGACGGCAGCACATGCGAAAGTGAGAGAACAAAATAGCAATACGAAGTGCAATGCGTTGTGAAGGAATCAATTATATTGGAATGGAATGTATGCATGCATACATACATTGACTGCCAAGTGCCGATTTGCTGATTTTGTTTGGATTTCGTTTTGTTTGCAGACGTCGACGAGTGCGCGGCTGGAACTGCGGTTTGCAGTGAGCGTAGCTTCTGCGTGGATACAGAGGGTTCGTACACCTGCGAGTGCAAGAACGGACACCAGAAGTCTGGAGACGACTGTGTGGACGTTGACGAGTGCGAGGCAGAAGTGGATACCTGCAGCGAGAACGCAGTGTGCACAAACACCGATGGCAGCTACACCTGCGAGTGCATAGAGGGCTATCAGGGCGACGGCAGGACCTGCGAGAAGACAGTGGGCGTGTGCGATTCCGCTCCTTGCGGACCCCACGCCACCTGCGAGCCTGCAGGCGACAGCTACACATGCTTATGCCATTCCGGTTATGAGCTGAAGGAAGGGGCTTGCGCAGACATTGACGAGTGCTCAGCAGGCAGCCACAACTGCGATCCGCATGCAACGTGCACCAACACTGACGGGTCCTTCACCTGCGCCTGCGGCAGCGGGTACACGGGCCTGGGCACCACCTGTGAGGACATCGACGAGTGCGCAGGCAACGCAGCAGGATGCGACATTCATGCTGTCTGCACCAACACTCCCGGCTCCTTCAAGTGCGAATGCAGGACAGGATTCGAAGGTGACGGCATGCAGTGCACAGAGAAAGTGCTGCTCCCCGGACAGGTCCACTGCGAGGCCTGGACTGCTTGGACGGAGTGCACGGAAGGAATGACCCACAGCACGCGCAGCTGCATTCAACTGCCTATCAAGAAGGAGACGAGGCTTTGCGCTGGAGCTGAATTCCCTCAGTGCGGAGAGGTGACAGAGTGGACCGCATGCCCCGGCACTGACAACAACATGTCTCACCGACGCTGGACGAAATTCGGAGAACCCGGATGCGAAAACGCAGAGGAAGTCCGAGAATGTCCTGACGACAGTGCGTCAGTATTTTCCTCTCTCGGTTCATTACCTGTATTCTCCTTCATTGTCTTCCTCCCTCTCGTTGTCTCCTCTGTTCTCGTGTGTCTACATGTGCGTCCTCGCTTTTAGTTTGTCTTGTTGTGCTGAAAGACAGTCGCCACTCCTGATAGTCTTCATGTGCCTTCCCCTCCGCGTGTGCTTCCGTCTCCACCTGCTTTGTAACGTGAATTTATTTTTGCTCGCTTTGCTGCAGCAACTGAGGAGAAGTGCGGCGCTTGGGGAGAGTGGACTACCTGCGGCGATCCTTCGGTTGGCTTGCGCACGCGCACACGGGAGAATTGCCCTGAGGAGGCAGAGTTTGAACATTGCACAATGGCACCTACTACTGAGCCTGAAGAAGGAGAGATTACGGGAGGCGAAGAAGGAGGACAGGAAGAAGCACCCGTCCTTGGAAAATGCACAGAGTTCGGCCCGTGGACTGCCTGCACGGTGGGAGAACACGGATTGGGAACGCAGCAGCGCACATGCGTCGACAGAGAAGACATCAGTGAAACAAGAGTCTGCAGTAGCAGCTCACAAGACTGCGGCGAATGGACGAGCTGGTCGAGTTGCATTGGAGGCACGCAGTCCAGAAAGAAGACGAAATGCTCGGATGTCAGAGAAGTCCGGCTCTGCGGAGGTCAGTAGCATATTTTGATGCATCCGCTAGGCGCGCTTTCTCTTGGCGATGATGTATCCTTGCATGTGGTACACGAATACACCGCGTGCCTGCATGGGTGTGCCTGCTTACTGCGCTGCACTGCACTGTCGCTCTGTCGTCCACGGCATGATGATTTGCTTGCAATGTTCCGAGGATCTGTTCTTGTTTTCGTTGCGTTGAGGGGTGGGGTGTGACCTCGTGCCTGAAAGGCTGCAGAGGCGTTGTTGCTTTGTTTTTTCTTGCAGTTGACATGCCGTTTGCGGACGAGTGCACTTGGAGCAGCTGGTCGTCTTGCAACTTGATGGTAGATGGCACCACAATGCGGACGCGTTCCTCCATGGACTGCAACATCAGCGAATCGCAGGTCTGCAGTTCCAGCAGTGTCGCAGGCGAAGGCGTCTGCTCGGCATGGACCGCATGGACTGAATGCAAGGACGGAATGCAAACGCGAAAATGCTCCAGCATGGATGCAGAGGAGACCCGAACGTGCGGAGAAGCTCCTCCTTCTTGCGGTGTGTCAAGGGCGTCTGATTATTACTATTAACATATGAATCACCAGTATAAGTATTCTATTCTATGATACATAATATATATATGTATATATATATATATGGGAGCTAGTTATTGTGGCTGCTAGCTTTGCTTGCGTTTCCCTTCAAGTGCATATTGCTTGTTGCTTTGGTTTCTTCTTGCGGTGTTTCGCCACAGGAGAATTCGGCCCCTTCGAACCCCAGAACTGCAGTGCAGGCGAACTGGTCACCAGGACCCGAGTGTGCGACGGAGTTGAACAGAAAGAAACTCAACTCTGCAACGTCAGCGGTGAGTATAAACATGTGTCACCAATAGACTACGTGTGTACGTGTATATATATACACGTATGTACATGCCACCACCTACTGCTGCATATGAACCACTGATGATTATTTGTTGCTACGTTGCTTATTGCCTTTCGTCCTTCAGGCCAGGCGGGATGCGGCCAGTGGAGCGACTGGACCAAATGCACAATCCGCTCTGGCAGTAAGACGCTGCGAAGCCGCGAGGATACGGCGTGCGGTGTGACGGAGTACGAAGAGTGCTCCACAGCCGACGTCAGCGACACCGTAACCTGTGAAGCTTGGAGCGAATGCTCGGAGAAGCAAATGAAGAGAACCTGCAGCATCCGCTCCGACGGCATCGTGAAACAAACCCACGAAGTCCGCCCTTGTGACGATGACGTCTCGACATGTAAGCAAACTAAAAATAGCGGTACTGCTTCGCATCCGCATACAGCATACAGGGCTCCTCATGAGGAGTAGAGTTTATGCGGCGCATTATATTTGCTTTTATTTTCCTCCCTGCAGGCGGCGACTGGAGCGAGTGGAGCGAGTGCAATGCCGACGGTCTGCAGCAGAGGAGCCTGGGCGGCTGCCCTGATGTTGTGGAGGTTACAACTTGCGGCAGTACGTTGGATCTTCTTTTAATAAACTTTTTGCTGTTGTTCATAGTTTGGCGAGAGATAGTTGGATCGGTATAGGCAGTGTCTTTGATACCATTTATTGTCAGACAGAGTTGAAGTAAATTCTGGTTTGTTGGTGATGTTTAATGCCATTATAAGGATATATGGAGTTGAAGCTGATAAGAGAGAGCGTTGTTGTAAATGCATTCGTTTGTTGTGTTGCTTTTCGGTGGCTTTGTTCAGGTCAGAATTGCCCACCCTTCGGCGAGTGGAGCGAATGCGGTAGCCCAGAGGCAGGCGTGCGATCTCGCCAGCGCTCAAACTGCACGGAAACTGACGCGTGCCAGTGCTCGGAGGTTGAGCGTTGCGACAGCATTGAATTGACCCCCCCAACCGCACCAGGCGCAGGAGAGGAAGGAGGCGAAACCGGTGTAGAAGGTGGTGAGACCGGTGTAGAAGGTGGTGAAACCGGTGTAGAAGGAGGCGAGACCGGTGTAGAAGGTGGTGAGACCGGTGTAGAAGGAGGCGAGACCGGTGTAGAAGGAGGCGAGACCGGCGTAGAAGGAGGCGAGACCGGTGTAGAAGGAGGAGAGACTGGTGTAGAAGGAGGAGAGACCGGTGTAGAAGGAGGAGAGACCGGTGTAGAAGGAGGAGAGACCGGTGTAGAAGGAGGAGAGACCGGTGTAGAAGGAGGAGAAGAGGGCGGAGTGACAGGAGGAGAAGAAACAAGCACCAGCACTGTGTCGCCTACAGAGGAGCAGCAGCCTGAGGGAGGTGTGACTCCGGAGACTCCAGAGGAAGGAGAGGGTCAGGAGAAACCCGAAGGCAGCGAGGAGGAGGCCGTTCAGCCGCCAACTGCTCCCGAAACCACCCCTGAAGAACCTACTGAAGAGCGTCCTCCCAACAAGCGCCCCGAGGGCGAAGAGGAGGAGAAGGAGGAGAAGGAGGAAGGCGGTGGCTTCCCAACTGCTGCAGTTGCCGGTGGTGTGGGTGGTGTGTTGCTGCTGGCCGCTGTAGGCGGTGGTGTTGCTGCCTTCACAGGCGGCGGCGGCGGTGCCGGCGCACAGGAGGCAGAACAAGTTGAGTTCGAAGGAGAAGACACTGGAGCAGGAGCTGCCGAGACACCTGAAGCCGATACAGTTATCGACATCACTGACGAGGACGACTACTGGGCCGACAGCGGCGACGTTCAGTAAATCATTTAAGGGATTTACTGTTTTCTTCAAACGAGAAGAAACGAACAATACTGCAATATTTTACAGCAAGAAAGAAGACTGCAAACGCAGGCGGAACAGGTCAAAGATATCCGATTCGTTGGAGTCGTGACGGAGGCGGCGTCAGCAGCTGAACGTATTAGTGAATGCTTGCCTTCAGTTGGGCAAGTTGTATACGATGTATTTATTATACTCTCGTACTTAGCTCAGCTCAGCAGGCAGGCGCCATCACATCATGCCTGTCACGACGACGGCCTGTTGCTGTTGGTCTTCTTTCTTGTTTGTTCGAATTGGTTGGCTGATGATGCATTGCCCCTGTTGTTTCAACTGCACGTACGCATCGCGCAGTGAGACGGAAGATTACTCACAATTAATATTGTATTCGTAGAAATCCGTCGCTTGTGTTTCAATGTATATCGCGTTGAGGAACCAAACAACAACACCCTTCAATTGAACGGCCAGTGAAAGCCCTCCTTATTACCACACCCCTCTTCTGTCTTCCGAGGATTCGGCGGGGTTTCCAATGGGAGGGTATCGGGTGTTTCGTTTTCTTTGATTGTCTAGAAAGGGCAAGCAGGTTCTCCAGGCGGCAGCAGCGCATACCACCACGAACAGCTGCAGTTGAAACGGAAATGCATCTTCAATAACACTCTTCACCCTATTTCGTCCACACTGATTACTACACAACACCATAAAATTCGCTTCATTTGCTCCATTCCTTTTTCTTGGCTTTTGTCGAGTCATTTAATTCACAAATCATTTCTTAATACGACATTGCGGGGCGGGGCAGCTGTCTGTCTCCTGAGCAGTGACACCATAAATAATAAATCAACTGGCAAACAACAGATACGATGTATATAATGTTAACAATGCTCACTAAAATCACGATGGTGAAATTAAAAGAACAGGAGGATGACACTCCCCAGTATTTATTTTCTTCAGAGGCCGCCCTGCTTGTCTTGGGGGGTGCGGCGCAATTTATTGCCCCGGCAAAACTTCGACTGGAAGTTCAGTTGCTGTCGTTTTCATAGTGCGTGCATGCAATTTTATATAGAAATGTTGGTAGCAGCAATTGCCTAGCCTAGCACATCGAGCAAAGCGAACAATAATCAGTTCTCTCTAGGTGTGCAGATGCACATCCAAATTACGTGTTTATGGGAGGCTTGCTGCCGTTTTGAGGGCGTGTTCTAGCGTATATATACAGTATTGTAGAGTGCACGTCTATACAGTATATATATATATATATAATAATATATATGTATATGAATCATACGTATATATATATATATATATATATATATA